GCCCGCGGCGTCGGGGCGCGGCGGATCAGGGCAGGCAGGGGGCGCAGAGGCTGCAGGGTGAGTGGGGAGCAGGGGGCTGCAGAGGCTGCGGGGCGAGTGGGGAGCAGGGAAGCACTTAGCAACCCCCAACCAAGATCAGAGCGGGAGGGAGGAGGGGGAATGCGGGGTACTCAGAGGAGGGGGCAGAGTTGGGGCAGGGACTTTGGGGAAGGGGTTGGAATGGGGGCGGAGAAGGGGTGGGGTTGGGGCGGGGGCGAGGAGGGGGCGGAGTTGGGGCAGGGCCGGGGGCGGGACCGGGGCCCCATGGAGTGTGCTCTTTTTTTAAATGTTTGAATATGGTATCCCTATGTTCAGGCCTTTCTGCAGTTTCCATAAGAGGATACCTAATTAGCTCTTCTGTAATATCTTCTTTGTAAGTTAGTGACAATAATTTTTCTGTTAATTTGTGACATTTGTTTTGTTTTAAAATGCTTTCAGCTGCCTCAGGATGCAGTAGTAACCCACTGGGAGGAATTTCAGTTAAATCACCTACTCAAAGTCTCAGACTTGGCCTGTCCAGATTAGCACGAGTGAAACCGCTGCACCCAACTGCTGCCAGCAGTTGAATGGTCTATGAAAGTGTCGCTCACTTGAAGGACTACTGTTTGGAAAGAATTGGGTGTGTAGTAGGGTTCTGTTGTTTTTAAACAGGGTTGGAAATAAATGAGCAGAAAACTGTTCATTAAACTGTTCATTCAGAGGGAGGAAATGCTGTCGATGTTGCTTGTCTGATACTAATAAAGGGCCTTCATCCTTCAAGGTGCAGTGTACCACCAGTGAAGTGCTGAGCAGCTTCAGCTGCTGAATAATACTTAATCAACTAGACCTCAGGTTGCTCAGCACCCTAATGGATCGCACCCAAAGAGAGGGATTGTGTATTTGAGATTGTACCCTTCTGATGTCTGTCCTCTTTTGGGGAAAAAAAATAGGCATTACATTTTTAAATTGCATAAAAACAGAATCTAAAAAGCAGTGTATCAATTATGGATCTAAATATATAGACTGGATTCTTAATGTAACGTTAAAGTTACAGTTTTGAATTCCAAATGTTTAGTATTCATTCTGTTCATAGTCCAATTAAAGCTTCCCTTTAATAAAGTGAAATCATTGTTCCTCTCAGTCCAGAAAAGTTGATTCTCAAATCTTTGTTAAAACTTACTGATAGTTGTATTTGTGTGGATTTTATTGCTAAGAATGTATAATGTGCTGCTTAGAAAACTGTATTTTTTAAAAAAGTAAAATAAAATATATTTTATAAACAGCTAGTTTGTAATAGTAGCTGCCTTTATGCATTTTGAAAATTTCTTACAAACTTTGGCCCTAGTCCTGCAAATATGTAAGCATTACCTTATGCATGTGACTAGTCCCTTCAAGTCAGTGGAACTAGTTATGAGACAAATCCAAAACCCATTGAAGTTAAGCACATGATTAAATTTTTGCAGAATCAAGGGGTTTATGATTATTTATTGCACAATAAATAGATTTTCATATAGTTTTGGAATGGTAGTTACTGAAACACCAGGACCTGACCTTAATTTAGAAATGGTGAGTCCATGGACCAAAAGCAGTTCTTGTCTAAGCAGGTGCATTCCCACAAAAGTCAGTTGTGCCAACTTACACAAGGGATGAATTTGACCTCATAACAATTCAAAGGATTGGGTAATGAATCAGTGAATCATTTGCAAATAGATGATAGTTTTTAACTTCTTAATTCCCTTCAGTATGGGATATGGGGCAAAGGCATTAAAGGGATAAATAGCCCAATTGTTCAGAATAATATTTGAATATAATTTTGTGAAGTATGATGCTGTTTGAAGTAAAATATAACTTAACTGTAATTAATCGTTTATATAATTATACTTTTGCAGTCCAAATGTGATTATAAAAA